CTGGCTCCGCTCGCTGTGTGGAAGGAGCCGTTCCGCAGTAATGAGTTTGTCGGCGTTTGGGGATCGCGCACGGTGCGCGCCCTGGGTCACTAATTCAATCCTGAGAGCGTTCTAAATAATTATTAATACCTGCTAAGCGTTAATAGAACTTCATAGGCGATTCATCAAGCTGTCGATTTATTTTAGGGGTTGCGACATTTTGTGTCTGTGATTTCAAACACGTCCTATAAACGTGGCCAGCGTACAGACCTATAGAGGGGAGGCTTTTTATTGCAACCTATCGAAAATGACCATTGTGAATCCAATTGTTAATTTAGCTTTCCATTTGACAGCCAATATAACGCATGATGACATAGGCCTACATATTGCTTGCTTGATTCTTGCTATATTCTTTCAAATAATTTCAGCATATAGGCCCACATATGAGGTTTATGCAAGTGCACACACAATGTACACATTTCCAAAGTGCCCTCCGTGAGTGTGTAAAGTGCATTGTGTGTGTGAGAATGTGCGTCTGCCTCTCTTGTAAGCTGAGCCATAGAGACGCTGACTACAGGGGAATCTCATCGGCAATGCAGCCTAGACGCCAAAGAACACACTACCTCTTCCTCTCACTCTCTCTTCCTACTTGCCTCCGTCTCTTCTCCCCTCTTTCATTAAATGCACCCTGGCCCATGGCTGCCACCATGCAAGATCAAACGTGTGCCTTTTGATACCATGCATCCATCTTAAACGTACTGTCGCTGAAAAACAGAAAAACATATTTTAAGTAATAATATTCCAATTCACTTGTGCATGTTCACAGATGTTATTAAATAAATTCAAGTAAATACACACCTGTTATTAAGACAAAATACAGTGTGTGTGTGTGTGTGTGTGTGAGTGTGTCAGTCTGATACATGGTTGAGATGAAGTGATGGCTGTCACACACAGTCTCCTCTGACACAGCAGAAATGAGAGGAAGTTGGGAAGAAGAGTGGGGGATGGGTTTGAGGGCATGCTGAGATTGAGCTTCAGTCTGGGACGCTGCCTAAGCTGAACGAGGACAGACAGCATCTCAATGGCCACCTCTTGCTCTAACCAAACGTGGCCTGTTGTGTGCATAACACAGAAACATGACAAATGTCAAGTTTAGCTACTCAGTGTGTCACCCAGGCTGAATTTCCATTTGAGAAAGATACATGCCGGCCCTCCCGTCTTTTACTTTTAATAGTAAAAAGTAAAAAAGCATCAGTGTCAGTTATACAGTAGCAATGCCTGCACAAAAAGTCAGCGGCAAACAAAAATGCTCCTCTAGGCTGGTCAAAAAAAGAAAGATTTAAAAATTGCGGTATCAATAGTCAAGTGTCTCTAACCTTGAAGTATCTTTGATGAGACTGTTTTACTTTTAGATGCTTGAAGAAAATAAACTTCTGTATTTAACTACTGTAGAACAATATCCTTTTGTATTTACACATTGCAGAAAAAAAGTGTCTTGGGAAAGAAAATAAGGGTTATTCTTTTAAATCAATCAATTTAAGCTCTAAGAGAGACAAACTATTCCTGTATGATTTGGTCAAATATTCCAAACAACTCTCGTCAGAGAAATTTTCTCCTTTTTGTAACTTGTCAAATAGATCTGCTACGCTTTGCCTGTTTACAATACAAACAAGATGCACATAAACAACACAATTGGGATTGTGAACCCCATGTTTCCCCCTTGGTTTACTTTAAATTCACTGAACTGCATACAACACATTAGACCAACCAAGTCACACATACAAGAATACAGGTCTCATTATTTCCAACAAAACCTTTAGCTGATGGATTATTTAAATTGTATTAAAAAGGACAAATTATTGTAAAAAAATGACAAATGACACTGCACAGAGAACAGGGAAAGGGCATTACTGGTCAAAGCAACTCTGACAGAGAGTTATACTGACATTTTGGTTACAGCACTGTGTAAAAAATGTAGATCATTTGGGATTTCCATTAATCTTAATATGCTGGGCGAAATAGCTCATAAGTGGCAGGTATGATGGAGAGCAAGTAATGCAACATTACGGCCACTGAAACATAATGAATGAACTTCAAGTCATGCCAGTGGAAATGTTGGACTTCAATATTAAGACAAAAAAAAAAGTGAAAATATTTTCTTTCTCTCTCAAATTTGAAAGCATTTTATTTGCTCTTTTCTTCAGTGTGAATTAATGGTTCTTTAAAGGAGAGAAGACATCATGTGTGATGGGTAGGCTACAATTCTTTACAGATTCTCATGTGATGTAAGAAAAAAGAACCAATATCATGCCTATAAACTGATGTATTAAATCTGAAATCATCGGAGCCTTTGAAACTAGGTTGCCTCTGACACACAAGCATTGATCAAAAATGCCAGAAGCAGAAGAGGTCAAGTGAAACACTTAGGGACTAACCATCCAGTTTAGCCTTTGATACAACAACAGGTGCAGAGGCCAGAACACTTCAACAAAAACTAAAGTTCAGCCACCAACAGGCTGTTTTTTCATCTTCACACAGAGAACGCGAGCCTGCGAGAGGCTGCAACAGCCTGGGAACAGAAACCCGAAATTAGAAGATGAGGACTCTCACGTTAATCGTCTCAAACTAATCTTGTACAGTCTTTTTCAAAGCATTTAGTATTAGAAAGCCGTTTATTATGATATAATAATAATACACGTTAAGGAACATTTGGTGTAATGTAATTGGGAGTAAGGGGAAATTAATAGGAAGATTAGTCAGTGATCAGAACAGTAGGCTACCTTCGCGAAGTCTGGATAACCTTAAACAGTAAATCGCGGCTCAAACTATTACAATAAATGAGAGTTTAATATTTGCCATTAAAATATATATATATAATTTATTATCATTTTAAATCATCGTTTTATTTCTCGGGTAAACTAAAATGTGATCGCGACGTACCACAACAACTCTTTTAATTATCATCGATCAAAAGACGAACATTTAGTGTCAATCAAAATTAATTTCTTCTTACTGGTCCAAATATGAGACGTTTGCGAGCAATAATAAGAAGAATATCAAGAACAACACGAAGAATATACGAATAAAATCACCCTGTTTACTCGTTTGTGTAGCTACGCATCTTTCGACTTTCATCTAAATAATTTCTTTCCAAACATTTGTGTAAACAAAACGTTTTAGGCTAATGTTATAAACGAATGCCACTGTACCAAGCATTTATGAACTTGTGTTTAGTTTACGATGATAAAATAAATCTTTATGCCACATTAGTAGGCTATTAAACCTCCATAGTTCATAGAATTCAAATGAATTATTGAAATTAATTTTTGAAAACGTAACCAAATATAATAACAGATTGAACTTTTGAAATAGTACGATTCGTGTGCCACATGCGCAATGAGGCACGGTGTTTTATATAAGACACAAATCGTTATTTCTGGCACTTTTTATTATTTTCATTTCATCTGTCATTTAAGCCTAATAGATGTCATTGGAAAAACTGAATCTTGATTTTTGTATAACAATAGATCACATATTTTAGCCATGAAAAGACACTTGTTGAGTAATTGGAAAAGAGGCTGATGCATTTGACAGGAGTTTTTATTAAACATTATGAAAACAAGATTCTGAACAACATTCCATTTCGAAACATTTTGGTTTGGACTTACTGACACGTAAGGACATTTATAATTTCGATAAATATATAGAAATTATAGGCTATGTACAGTTTTTTTTTATTTTTTCCCATTTTATTTGTTTTTTTACATAAGACAGCACACATGACAGAACATGTGGTTATGTAACCTCAAGCCGCTGTGCCTCAAATAAGACCAATAGACAGAGAGATTGCTTCATAACTGTATCATAATTCATAATTTAAACGAAATAAATTAATCAATGTTAACAGTGGTTTTCAGGTGAGATATCAAGCAGATACTAACCCAGGTAAAGGATCATACTTGGAGACCTTATTTTAGGAGTCTGGCCGATAGATCTGTTAGGAAACCAAGCATACACAGGTCGGAAAGAATTTGAAAACTGACTTAAGACAATTTACGTGCATTAGATAATCCACTTTGGCAACTTCTTCATTTAGCCTGAACAAGATGGGCTATATTTCAAGTTATTTTTGATATCCATATCTAACCAGTTTTCTACACCTTCATTTATTTTGAAGTACAAAATTCACATAATCAGAGCTTCTGTTAATTGCTTTCGAATTTGGTGCATAGAATATTAGCAGCAATTAAAGTCCTTGTGTTTATATGCACTTTAGATCGAGTAACTATGTCCACCATAACAGCAGTTCGATTAACACAGAGGAAAAGAAATTTTATATAAATCCCAATTCTTCGAATCGTAGTAGGCTTCCTTTGAAATTGTACATATTCAATAGGATGAGAATATCTTTGTCATTTGCATGCTACTACATACAAACATCGTATTAAGACGTTTTAAATAATCAAGCAAAAAGGACTTTTTAAAAAGAAAGTTAAATTAACACACCATTTGACCTCTACATATGTACAAGTGGGAATAAATAACTCTGGCTCAGTTCGGTGTTTTTTTTCTTTGTTCTTATTCTGTACTTTTAAACAATAGAAAAGAAATGTTAAGACAATTTACGTGCATTAGATAATCCACTTTGGCAACTTCTTCATTTAGCCTGAACAAGATGGGCTATATTTCAAGCTCAAATGCGCATGATTAATTATAGCAAAGTTTGCACACAAACCCTCTAGTATTGTTGAATTATATCCGCATTTAATCTCTTGACATCTACCTGTAGTGTAATTCAGTATGGTCGGAAGCCTATTATCATCACAATGTTGTAATGCAAAACAACAGTCAACTGCTTTATACAGAGTAGGCTATGCTACAGTTTTATTACGTCATAAAAAGTTAAAACAACCCTTCTTGCCCTACGAACGACGGTTGTCATATATTTGAAGTTAACAGTTTTATGTCGTTCATCATACCGGTTATATTATATATATATATATATATATCTACATACAAACATCGTATTAAGACGTTTTAAATAATCAAGCAAAAAGGACTTTTTAAAAAGAAAGTTAAATTAACACACCATTTGACCTCTACATATGTACAAGTGGGAATAAATAACTCTGGCTCAGTTCGGTGTTTTTTTTCTTTGTTCTTATTCTGTACTTTTAAACAATAGAAAAGAAATGCAAGAACGGATTGCATGTGATTTCGCAGGTACGCACGAGTTCCTTCACATAGGCTACATGGTTTGTATCGAGCAGAAGAAACGAAAAAAAAAAGAGAAGAGAGAGTGGTTAAGGGCCATGCTTTTCATCCAAGTGCTGTATGAGGAAGAGAGAGTAAGGACCTGGCGCGTTTTGGAGTACCATACATGTCCCGCATGCAGGATTGGTGGGGTAATGCAGACTTGAGCAATGCTTGAGGGCCCTCAAAGTTCATAAGTCCCCTCAACCTCAGTTCATGACTGAGAAAAGTCAAGGATGTATTGCTATCTCCCTTTCTTGCTTCTAAGTGTTTTAATATTAGCATTGTTCCTTACAAAGTCCCTTCACAGAGTGAGGTTTCGTTTCCAGTATGTTCTCATCGCCATTAAGACCAAAAAAAAAAGATGAAGAAAGCGGCTGTATGTCTTTAAACATGTCGGACTTTGTAGTTAGCATATAACTTAAAAAAAAACAAACAAACAAAAAAACACGAATTTACAGAATCCAAAACTGATGGGTCTTTGGAGGTTATGCGTGATCCCATATTTAGAGCGGATGTGTTATGAAGTAGAAGGGTCCGTGCAGTATCTGTGGAAGATAATCCTAACATTACACTAACCTTAAGACTTTTATGGTACAGTAATATATGTACACAAATAATGAGTGAAGACGCCTATGTCGCTGTAATGTTAGGCTACACTCTTAAAAAATAAAGGTTCTTCAGTGTTTCCTTTCAGCACTAAGTTCGGCAAAGGACTTGACTTGCTTGTCAATAACCATTTTGGCGGTAAAAGTGGGTATTCTTTGGAAAAGAAAAAGTGCTGGATGTTACATTACGGATTCCCTAGATTTACATAATTGGGTTTTGGGTTCGTTAAAGCACCAGTACATAGATGTTTCTCTAGAGTCCTTAAAAATAAAATATTTATTTGTGGAACGTAAAAAGATTATCCTATGGCATCAGACCTTTATTTTCAAGAGTGTATGTTCTACGAGTATTTAAGATAAGAACTGCAAATAAAATTGACACTGAAAATCATAAAAATGAAGGTTTAAAAAAAACGAATACGTTGGTGCGGAAAAAGTATTTTACAAGAATCACTCTCACATGAAGAATTCCGTGGAAGAGGTTTTGCCGTGAGTGCCGTTGGACGGGTCCCGAGTGTTGCCGCCTCCGTTGCCTCCGCCGCCGTTAAAGGTTCGGCTCGCGAGCTTCTCGTACTTCTCCTTGTACAGGTCCCTCTCTTTGATCAGACGCCCCACGTCTTGCTTGAGTTGCTCCACCTGGCTCTGAAGCGTGCACTTTTCGCTTTCGAGCATGTGGCGCTGCTGCACGCGCTTGTAGCGGCACGACTGTGCATAGCCGCGGTTCTTCAGGGTTCGCCGTTTCTGCTTGAGACGGATCACCTCTTCTTTGCCGAAGCCTCTCAGTTGCCGGTTGAGCTCGCGCACCGTCATGCTCACCAGCTGCTCGTCCGAGAAGCGGTCCTCGAGGTGCGCGTGGTGGCCGTGGTGGTGATGGTGGTGGTGCACCGGGTGGTGATGCCCGTTCGTGGCCGTCGAGAGGTCTTCTCCGACGTACTGCTGACCGCGATATCCCTCGTAGGGCTGGTGGTGATGGTGGTGGTGGTGCGCGTTACCGATAAGCGCTTCCACCGCGTCCTCGGGCGTCAGGTTGAGGGCCTCTGGACTGATGTGATGCTGGTAGTTGGGAATCCAGTAGAGATCTTCCAGCTGCGGCTTGCCCGAGGAGCCTTGGTTGTTGTTGTTGTTGCCGCTGTTGTTGTTGCCGACGCAATTTTCGAGGTTCTGCCCAGGCTGCGATCCGGGACTGGGGGCACAGAAACTGGGCGAGGACGGCACTGAGGAGCAGGGTGTGCTGATTGGGGTGGAGGATAGCGAGCCCGGGGGCAGGCGGTGGCAATAGCGGTCGGCCTCCGGAGGCTCTTTCTTGACTTCAAACTTCATGAGGTCGAAGTCGTTGACATATTCAATGGCCAGGGGGCTGTTGGGCAAATCTGCGCTCATGGCGAGATCGGTGGCCATGTCAGTCCATGCGACGACACCAACCCTAACAGCCAAAGCGACACGCGTGGGTTTCGCTGGGATTATGATGAACACGACTGAAGATGAGTGCTCAGTGTTTAATACATAAGCACGAGCTTCTATTTATAGTGCAGCGAGATATACTTATGCCCATGCATGTAAATGTACGTATACAAATGCCAGTTTGCCTCTTGTTGACAACTTATCCCAGGTCAAATTCACGCGTTAATATCACTGGCCAGGGCGGCAGAAACTTGAGACTCGTGCATTCAAGACCACCAACCTGACTCGTCCTGCTTCACCGCGTTAAAGCTGACATGTGGTTTTAGAGAAATCGTCCTTTGAGTAACAGAGATTTCAAATATCCTTCTTCACCTCCGTGTTTGAAGTTCCGTCTAACCGGAGGCAATAAAGTTTAAGCTTTCATGCGAAGACAGCGAGAACTTTCGTCACATGTCCCAGAAGAGTCCTTCACACAACAAACGCACGCCCGTCAAGTTCAGAAAACGTCCGACTTTTCCTCGAAGTCCAAAGGAATGATGCTGCTCCTGCTGCTGCTTTTTACACCGGGACCGCAACAATGTGCGTGACAAATCTCAGTGTAACGTTAAGTTCCTCCGGTGGGACGCTCCGACGCAGCCTGACGAAGGATGCGGAATTCTGGCTACTTAAATTCACCTCTCTCCGCTGTCACTTTTAAAGTTACATGGACTGCTGTCACCGTTGCTTTTCGTTTACGGCTAGAGCTTATTTTTGCACCGTTGTCCACCGCTGACACGCAGTATCACTGAAGCACTGAAAGGGGCAATGTACCACTTTATACACATGGCCCATCTGAGCGTCCCACCCAGAGAACGGAAAGGACCAATGGGAGGAGGCGTAGCAGTAGACATGCATATTCCTATAGCGACGCCCCTATGTGGCAGCTGAGCCGAACGCGCAGCAGCTGACAGGGGCTTAAACAGGTGTTCTTCCCGCCCCCTAGCGACGACTCCCCTGCAACCGCACGTGGAAAGTGAGCGCGAGGAAAGGCAATAGCCCAGCTTGTCTTACTTAGAAAATGTTTATTTAGAACGGAGCAAACACTTCTTAAACGTTATATGCAATACAAACGCTTTAGGGATAACTTACACATTTATAAACGGATAACTTACACATTTATAAAACGGATTGTACGCGTAATTTTCACGACCAATTGAATTCTATATTTGATAGACACATGATTTAAAAAAAAAATCATATAGTTAAATTGACTTATTTTTCACTTCAAAACTAAAAGTCAGTCTTATGAGAAATTGCAATAGGCCTACAATGAAAGCAAAATGAATACACATCGACTACTGAATTCACTATTAGGAAGGGAAATTATGACGCAATAACACAATGTTTGCACTTTTAACACTCTGCTAAGTTATTTCTCATTTAAAAATGTAAATGTGATTCAATAAACTCCAGTGCAATTCAGAGCAATATTAAACTAATTATGCATCACATTTCCTTTCACAACAATTAGGCTATTTATTAACAATTAATTATTTGCTATCATTTATTTATTAATTTATCAAAAGCGAGACATCCTTAAAATCCAGGAGATAGCTATGGCATAGGATAATTATTCTACAAAAACCCTACTGTGTTTGGACAGACCGTTTAAAGTTAAAATTGATTAGATAATTATGTATTAAGCTGCATATTTCCTCAATGTGCCGTAACCCCGTGAACAGTCATTCAGTGTATTGATCTGATAGGATAACACACGCGCAACTTTCCTCCCTGTTTATGACCTATAGGCGGTGACGGACTCAATAACGCGTGATCCAGCAATAAAATCAATCCACATTTCCGCCGGATAGAGAAAAATGCGCAATTTGTGCGGGTGAGTTAATTATGATCCGCCTCGCCAGTGCCAGCCACGCTCCGGATTTCTTTCGCAATTAACCTCTAATTGCATCTCGACTCATCTGCACGGATCGACAAATAATTAAGCCCCACGCAGCGCGCGCCTTCATCACCACAGCATATGTCTTAATCAGAGGAGCCAGTCTCGCGCTGAAGGAAGTACCCAAAGATGAGGGTCAGTCTAGCACCCTATGCGAGGCCGGGTCCTTATTGCAGTGTAAGGACACCGAGGAATGTAGATCAATATAAAAATGTTTTAAATATTATTATAGTGCTTTGTTAAAAATAAAAGAGACAGAAAGACATAATGAGAGACACTTAAAGGAATAGTTCAACTAAAATGAAAATGTACTTACCCTCAGACCATCCGACATGTAGATATGTTTTTCTTCATAGGATCAGATCTGAGGAATTTAGCATAACATCACTTGCTCAGCAATGGATCCTCTGCAGTGAATGGGTGCCGTCAGAATGAGAGTCAAAACAGCTGATACATGCAGGACTCCAGTCCATCAATTAATGTGAAGCAAAAGCTGTTTGTAATAAACACATTTTTAACTTCAATCTGTTGTTTTTGGCTAAAATATGAGTTGTCTATCCATAATATTGCTTTCTCCAGTGAAAAAGTTGTCTCGTCTGAATCAGGAGAGAAATATGCACAGATCAAGCACTGTTTACAAGCCAAAACCGTTCTAAACAAATGTCTAATTTTGATGTGAAAGAACAACAGGGAATGGACATTTATCACTTGATTTCAAAGGATTATGGACTGTTATTTTGGTCAAAAGCGACAGTTTAAAATTAAAATGGCATAATCATGTATTTGTTTTTTTTTTACAAACACTGCCGTGTGGATTACTTTTGGATTATTGTGATGCTTTTATCAACACTTATTCTGACGGCACCCATTTACTGCAGATAATCCATTGGTGAGCCAGTGATATAATGCTAAATTACTTCAAATCTTTTCCGATTAAGAAATGATCTGTTCCGATGAAACTCACCTACATCCTGGATGGATCCTGGATTTTTGGGTGAATTATTCCCTTAATTACTGTGTTTGACAGGCCTTTACATTCATATGCAGCACTCAGTAATTCCTCACTCTGTAATTGGCTCAGATAACACTTGCCAATTTATATTAATGTATGTGTATTTTCTAAGCTTCAGTGTGAATTATCAAAATAAAATCTGCTGTATAACTTACTTCTTACTACATCTGAGACCTCTACTAACTTTATGAAACATGCTAAGACTTTCTTTCCAGGTGCCAATGAGTGAAATACAGACACGCTTGAGGCTCAAATCTGCCAACGGAGGGGAAAAAAGAAAAGCCTAAGAGGACGGGACAAATCATATCAAGGTATTTGAAGTTGAAGGTGCGCTAAGTCATTATGGAGGTTTTATCAAATAAGCATGAGTGGACCTCAAAGTCCAAGCTAAGCAGTCCGCTTTGAAAATGCCACATTTAAGAAGATCTGCCATCGTCCATTCAGTGAGTGGAAGGTAGGTGGGTGGGTGTGGATGTGGCCGAGGGCTTGAGACATAAATTTTGAAGTCAGGGCTTTCATTGTGCCTTTGCATATTGGGAGTTAGCTGCTGGTGCAGTTCTACCGATTTAAGCAAAATGGACATCAGCATGTCCAAGGAGAAAAAGAGTATGATAGTGTGAAAGAGAGAAGGGGGGTTTGGACTAGACATCTGTGGAAATGACTGAGACGGATTTGTCCGGTTAACCCCTCTTTAGCCAAAATAGTTGAGAGGTGCGAGGTGGAGTAGGGGGTTATCGGAAGAGGGTTTGGAAAGGAGGTTTCTGTGGGCCTCAAAATCCCACAAATGCCCGTTCAAAGACTCAGCAGTAATCGTTCGACTACATTCAAACTAACAAGTATACAAAGTTCTATGAAGTTCTCAGCGAAAAAAGTGAGTTAGAAAGAGCAAGACGACAGAAAAGAGCATGTTAAAGAGAAAAAGAGACTGATTCCTTAAAGAGAACCAAAAAAAGTTGAAATGGACACAGGAAGAGATTTGAAAAAATGTACTAAAACTCAAAAGAGCTTTAAAAATGGCAGACGAAGAATGGCAAAAAGATAAACAGCAATAAAGCACAAGCAGAAAGATTGGAAAGAGAGCAGGAGGAAAAAAAGGACAGAGGACAGATATACTAATGACTAACTACTTGCAGTGGAAGTATGATCTTTATTGATGGGCTGGAGTCTTTGCTGAGCTGTAACAGGTTTGTCTTTTTTATGCCTAGGCGATCTATTGAGGTAGAGAAAAATTACACTTGACCTTTCATTCTTTCCTTTTCTCATTCAAGTGAGATTGTCCTCGAATAAATGTGAATGTGTTTTCCTCCTTTCTCTCTCGCTCTCCTCCTCCATTCTCTTTCACATGCGCTTTTACTAAAAATTGAAATATTGATCTTAATTAGAGTTTGCCGAGCTCAGCAGCTCGCGTTGAGCTTTGAGACAAGCGGCAGCAGACATCTGTCTAAGGCACTTACATCCTCGCCGTCAGAGCGAGAGAACGAGAGGGAAGGGGAGGGTGAGAAAAGAAAGAGTGATTGCTCCATGAATTTCTCTTTCTTTTCCCATGCAGATAACAGAGACTGGTGAGTGACCATTGTTAAAGAGTATCATGAATACGGATATATGCATCCCACCTCACATCTTTTCCCACCTCATCTTTTTCCGCCTTTCTGTACAAATCAAAGGTTATGACTTTACTGTACTAACTGAAGTTCTATAGTAATTAATTTAGGGGTTGTTTTGTTTGACATTAAACACTGAATGTTAAATAAAAAGAAAATTACCGTATTGGCCCGAATATAAGACGACCGTGTTTTTTCAGATGTATTTCCAAGAAAAAAACATTGTCTTATATTCGGGTCAATACGGTACTTAAAAAAAAAAAAAAGTACTGAATGGAGGATGAAGAACAAGATCTTTCTGCATGATGTTGCATCCGAATGAAAAAAAATCACATCAATTTATTAATGGATTAACTAACTTTAATGGATATTATATGGGGAAAAAGACAGTTCTATGTCCTTTGTTTTATATATATATAAAAAATGTGGTACCGGTGAAGCACAGTGGAAGTAAATAGGGCAAGTTTGGTAGAATTTTAAAACTAGAGACGAGAAGCTTATATTAAAAAAAAGCCTTTAACTCTAAACTTATGTATTATTTTATTAAGTTGTTTAAATTGTAATTTTAATGGTATTTTGGGGTTTGAGGCTTTAGATTTAGGCAACAAAGTTGTAAAAGTGACCTCTACACATCAAAGTTGAGTAAGGGATTAATAAAAGTGAATAAGGCCAATTTGGAGGATTTAAAAGCAGAATTATGAAGCATACATTTTTTAAAAAAGCATTTAGACCTACTCGTGTTACATTGTATATATTGAGTAGTAATGTTGTACAAAATGTAATTTTAATTGTTATTATAGGTTTTTAAGCATTATGTTTAGGCAAAAAAGTTGTAAAACTGGACATAACTTTACACAGCAAACGTTAGTAAGTGATTTTGTCAAACTAAATGTTAATATTGTTAAACATATTGTTTGTTTTATGGCTATATATTTAAAACTGTATTTTAACATTAAAGTTGCCAAACTCATTTTATGTGCATTTTTCATTCATAGACTCATACCTGACAAGACAAAATTAATTTTTGTGGTGAGCAAAATTATGTAGAATATTCTTCAGTTAACTTGTGTTAAAACTTGTGCATTATTTCACCTTTAAAGTCGTAAAAATGGTATTTAAATTGTTATTTTATGGTTTTAGGCATTACATAGGCAACAAAGTTGCAAAACTGGACAACACTTTACACAGCAAACATTACTAAGTGATTTTGTCAAAATAAAACCATGGCAACATGCATATTGTTTGTCTTGTGGCTATATAATTGAATCCATTTTAATGTTTAAGGATTGGCCCTACTTCCAATACAAGCACCTTACTTTTGTTCAATAAAAGGAGGGACAAATCAAAATTATTATTTTGATAATCAACATTGTCACAAGTCAGTTGAGCTTAACTATGAACTCCGGCATTCCTTTAAAATAAAAATAAAATCTATAAGCAAGAGCCGCAATGCAAAAAAGACAAATAAGCTAAGAGGGGTTAGGTGATGTATGACAACTTTAGTTGATTTTACAACACCCATATCAACATGCATTCTTGTGAAGTATTCCTTCCTGCATGAACGATTAAGCAGAAGAGAGAGATAGACAGAGAAGCCAGATGAGGGAGTGCTTTCCTTCCCTCCATACCTCTATGTCATCGTAAACGTGGCTCGCATCATGGGCACGGCCTTTATCTCGTTAACACGGCGGCAGGCTTGTCAGTGCCAGCGAGTGTGTGGTGTTCCGCAGCGAGACCCTCGCCACGGTATATTAATGCCCCCTGTCGCTGCTGCCGGCGACGGTTAACCAGGTTTCCCGTCGCGACCGGCAGTCGTTTGTCACGGAGCACGGAGCACGAGGCCTTGGTTCAGCGGAGCATTAATAGTCTGAATATCAGCAGTCTCCGCACAGTGAGGGGCGTTCAAGGGATTACAACTCCCATCATCCTCTCTATACCACTGTTTAACACTCAACATACTAATTACATTACCCGACGGAGAAGAGGAGGAACCAACGGATCCTCAATCAAATGCACATTTTAGGAAAAGACAGGGAGAAGGAAAGGAAAATGACATTGTCAGAAATTAGTTGTGATGGATTTGGTCAGACAGCAGTTAGTGAGAGGAGAAGAAAAATGAGTTTTGAGGAGTGTGAGGGAGACGTAACGTTTTTTTTCCGTTTCCTATAGATTCCTTAAGACTCAATTACAGTGACAGACATGCAGCCATGAGCGATGTTCTTCACATCCACCTGCCTCACAACACGTGTAGAGAAATACCGATACTTTTCACGTTAAACGATGCTATTCGGAAAACAACTTGGGAGTGAGGTGGTTTGTGATGTTATATGGTTCAATAACTGAAAAATTGGTTAAATATGGTTAAAGAACTGAAAAAATTCGTCTTCCATATATGCAAACATGCTCAGAAACAAAGACAAAGTCGTGCAAATCACAAAGCAATTTTATTTACTTTTTGAAAAGACATTTTCACAAGCTCGCATTTGAAATAATACAATTTCTTTGCATAACAAACCACTATAGAAATGCCATTTTAAAAATCCCTGAGAATTACATATACATATACATTTTGAAACTAACTCACTGTGAACGTCTGCATTTTTTCAGAATAGTATTTGATTATAATGCATAAATTCAGTTCTGTAGTAGTGACAGTTTATGAACATATTCCGAGAAATGTTTAATCAATTGCATTTCGAAATTCCTCAAACCAAACATGTGAATTCACACCAAAAAGTAGCTGTGAACGTCTCAAGTAAAGAAGATGTCTTTGTAAACCATTTTGTAACAGTTTAGGAGAATTTATACTGTATATTATTAAAGTAAAAATCAAGTTAAAATGTTTCAAAGTTTATTACCAATTAAAACTCCTCCATCAGCCCTCCTTTGGCAAGCTTTCTGTCTGTGTTGTATATAAGAATCGCGGCTTGATATGTAGTGGCTTTCCTGTAACAGAGAGAAGAAAGGAAAGGAAAAATTCCACAAGGAAACAGTGCAAACAATAGATTTTTCATGTTTTTATGGTTTGGTTACACAGCAGTAACTGAAGTCAAAAGTGAAAGTAGAGGAAACTTTGATTTGTAAAAACAAGACAGACAGACAAGAAATAAATAGCACCTGCTATATCATGGCAGGAGTAGCTATCGCTCTGTTTTACTGATAGAGGAGTGACACAGGAGTGTGTGATTGTCTCAGGGTGAGTGATAGCACAGAGACGGAGGGAGAAAGAGAAGATGCAGGCAGTGACGCATAGAGTCTGGGCTAATTTATGCAAAGCAGAGAGAAGTTTGTCTTTAAGGCCACAATCTTTACAGTGAGAGTTAAACTGTCATTCGTTACAATTAACTGCTCTTGGTGTGAATGTGGTTGTGGATGTGAAGGCAAAAGTATAACCTCACCAGGGTTGGGAATAAAAAAAAATTTTAAAAAAAAAATAAATAATGTATATATATGTACTTAAACCAAAAATTATTCAGACACAAGATATAATTTTTGATATCTTTTTACTAGTGGTTGCAGGACACTATAGTTCATTTATGTAAGTGAAGATAGCAAAATAAAGTAAACTGTGACATATCCAACAACTCTTCATACAGTGGACTACCAGTAAAACTGATAAAAATTTGGGACCAAAAATTATTCAGACACCATGTTTTGCTTAAGTGTTTCTTCTTTAAAGGGGTCATATCATGCGATTTCAAATTTTCCTTTCTCTTTGGAGTGTTACAAGCTGTTCGTGAATAGATAAGATCCCTAAAGTTGCAATGACTAAAGTCTCAAACCCAAAGAGATATTCTTTATAAAAGCTAAGACTCGCCCACGCCCTCCTAAAACACCTAGTTTAAACACGCCCCCACATATCTACGTCACGATGTGGGAAGATTTGCATAACACCACCCAAATGTTCACACAAAGAAAGAAGGCGTAACTTTATTCTCGCTGT